TAAGATTTTGAATCGTTTTCGTTGGTAAATGATACCAGTCAATCATGAACACGGCTACTCCGACGTTACCACTCTGTGATGTAAATAATAAATTTAATAATGAGTTTTCATATACTTTGATATACATAATTTTTTGTTATAAAAGAAAAATGTAAATATTTTTTGCAAATGGTTAAATCTCAAATTTTGAAACAGGTGAGTGAACTGAATGTTTGAAATCAGAGAAAAGAAGTAAATGATAATTTAAAATTATGTCTAGAGATGATCAAATGTGCTTTGATAATTTATTTTGTCTAGACTGTGTAGAGAAAAAAATTGTATTGTAAAGAAAAAAGAAATGTGGTTGTTGAAATACTTTCTTACAAAAGATGACTCAGTGAACATTTTTATAATTATAGAAATATATAATAAAATAGAAATATATATAAATATAGCATATAGTACCTTTTCTATTAGAAGATCACCAATGTAGCATAATAAAAACATATTAAATGTCATTGATATTAGTAGTAATATATATGATGTCAGACTAATTATATTTTTTTGTTCCCAATCCTGGTGTAAATGTAAAAATATCACATAAAAAATATGAAAATTCATAAAAAAGAAACGTACCGTAATGCAATAATATTCAAGTAAACATATTACAAAAGTGGAACTAACAAATTCCAAAAAGAACACTTCTTGTAGAACTGTTTCAACCACAGCTGAAAATCTACAATAACATATAATAAGTTTTCATAAGCAATAAATAATGACTTACATCTCCTTCATATTTTTACTTTAAAATTCTCGTATGATGTTTAATAATTTCCATCAGTCGTATATTCGCATTTGAATTTTTTTTGTATTGTCCAGCAACTATGTCATCTAATCGAGACATAATAACATCAATTTGTCCACATGCATGGGTTACAAAAAGAGCGGCCAAACCACAAGCACCAGATGCTATAGTGTCGAAGACATATTCGCATATACATTGAATACCATATATAATTTCATAAGTAGGACTTTTTTGAATATTGTAACCGCCATATGCAGGATAAATCAACATTTTAATCGTTTGATTATGTTCATTAATCTGCGATCCCATCGCATATTGCATAATAGAAATATATATAATACCACTAAGGTACATGAACAAAATACTATAAATGGTCAAATTTCGGCCAATTATTCCATATTTTAACATTAATTCGCGATCATTTTCTATCTCTACCTGTCAAAGAGTAGATTTTATTTAAAAAATGTTTTCATTTATAAATATATAAGTATTAGAGATATTGTTGTATGATATTAAAATATATGTAAAATATCCATCTGAAATTTAAGAATATAAAATTATAATATTTATATATAAATAAATATAAAATATATGCAGATAACAATTTAAAAATATAAAATACATACAAAATACGTTTGTATATGAGAAATATACATATATTTGATATACATATATCAAAAAATATCAAAAACTACATAATCAAAATAATAGCATTTGTTTTCTGACATCGCGCAATGATGTTCGTCTTGTCTGTAATGTCATTAATATCTACAGTTTCTATTAACAAGCCGAAGCATTCATGGCGCAATGGATATTTAAATTTTTTGATTTGCATTCTTCGTTTAACGTATGGACAAAAATATAAGCTGTTAGAAGTCAGGAAATTACAAAAATATTGAGAAAGCTAGGAAAAAACTTCTTGAAAGGAAAAAATATATATATATCATGTAAAAACATATATGATGAAAATGTAATGATGATGAATATATATATGATGAAAATATATATGAATCATATATACCATATATAATGATATAAAAATATAAATATATAGACATAAAATATGTTATGACATATAAAAATGATGTACATAAATATTATCTTATAATAGAAATATAGATATGTATCAAAAATTATATAGATTGAAGTTCAATTTCATTTACTACAAGTGTACAGTTATTTAGATAATTTGAAGTAGAATATATGTATTAATTAACCTGTTTCCAATCTGATTGCACTTGTTCGATACAGTGTTCAATTTCCGGTTTGCGTAGCGTTAGAGCCCAATATTTCATCAATGACATGAAGGAGAAAAAAATTAAACCAAGAAATTTCAATCTTAGTAATGCATCCTTTTGCTCCAATATGATGTGTAATGCACTTTGGATCAGAGTAAAAAAACACAGTAAATTATTGAATCCAATCACGATTTTCGGTAAAATTTTACCGATATTTTTTAACACTGTTGGCCAAATGCCAATAGAAGCAAGAACCCATTTGTTATGTTTTGTAACATAAGCTATATCTTTCTCGTAATTAGGATTTCGCGGTTCGTTGATCGGATCTCGAACAGAGACGTGCATGTTGTTGGACAGTTGGAAAGCGACTGTTTGTAATAGTCTGGTGATGGTTGTTGTTGAGCTTGCGCTCATAATATCGCATGCGTGCTTCTGTGTTACTACAATTGTAAATCGATCGATACTTATTAAAAGAAGTAAATGTTTGTATTGTAATTATAGAAGCTATCAGTTCATTTCAAAATTTCACATTTGAAAATGGTGAAAAGAATGGATTGAAAACTGATGTTATGTATAAGTGATCAAATGGATTCTGAAATAATGTGTGATATATTCATTTGTGGTAAAAAAATATTTGTAAAATGTATTTGTAGATTTAATATAAAATATTTACATTTTTTATGTGATTCAAAAGTATGTTCGAAGCAAATTTAAATATATTATTAATGTTTTTGCTATCTAAAAATAATTTTTTATGTGATTCAGAAGTAGAAGAAGTCTTTTAATGCTGTAAAAATTTGTAAAATAATTAATTCTTATGTTTGCATATTTTTTTAATTATCTCATAAAGAGATAGATTATAAAATATAAAATAAAATATAAATATGTTAAATGTGAAGATCAACAAAGGATGTAATTTTATCTTGTTTTTCGATTAATTCTAAAAGATAGAATAAATACTATTTTTATAATCAATCTTTAAATATAATTTCATTTAATTGCTTACCATTAAATAATAATGTTCGAGCATATGTACATTAAATATGCCATCCATAATTTCTATAAAACATATCTCTTGTAAAATTTCTTCGATATTGTTAAAAAATCTACAGTTTTCATGTATTTCTTTCCTTAAAATCCTTTCTCACATTCTAATTTTAGCGCTCCAATATTTCATCGATGTAATCGAACAAAAAGTCAATAACCTGCATAATTTTAATTTTATCACATTATTTTTTTTTGAAATATGATATATATAATAATTTTCAGGATGCATAATATAACAGCAAAAAATAGGATAAATTATTAATTTTAATTACGATTTTCAATAGAAATTTTGCGATATCTTTTACAATTGTTAGCCAAATATTGATGAATTTCAAAATCCACTGTTTGATTACATAAGCGATGTTTATCTTGTAGATTTCACATTCTGTAATCACTCTTATTTAGTATAATAATATGTTTTTTTGAAAAACAACTGTTTACAATAGCTCAATAGCATTGATTGCAAGTTCATTCAGAATAAGTTCGATAATATTATATCTTTTTTAGTACTTCGATTAAATGATCGATTATATTATCGAATTATATTTTTTATTAAAAGGGAATCAAATATCTGAAATTGTAGGGAAGCTAACTGATAATATTATAATATATTTTATATTTACATGTAAATGAAAATTGATGATTAAGAAGTTGTAAGAAAATTATAAGAATAATAATAAAGCCATTTGTATTTTTATGTTTGATATCATATAAAATAATATTAATATTTAATACATAAATGCAAGAATAAGTAATCATTAAAAAAATAAAGTAGTTATTTTCTTATTGTTTCTTAAATCTAAAAAATGTGTAAAAGCTTGGTTTATTTGGTTTATTTTTCAATAGGCTATTTCACGCAGACATAGCCAATTTCTAATAACTTGTAGAATTTATTGATTAAAGTAAAATATATATATATCTTAGCATTATTATTATAATATATAAATAGACAAATATCTATTTCATTATTTTCGTGTACATATTATATATAATATATAATTATACACATATAATATATAATTATATTTCATAAAAATTTAAGCAATTACATAGCAGTAAATATCTTTACAATATATTTCTTTATTTACTATTTAATATTTTATGATTGAAAATAATTATAAAAACATTTATATAAGATTATTGCATAACAGCAGTCTGAAGGAAGTTTAAGTACACAAATGTCGTCTTTAAAACCTGCGAAATGTAATTGCTGACAAATAGAGTTCTAATTGTATAATTTTCATTTATGTCACTACTATATTCTTGTAATTAATGTATCAAGATAAACGTACATTTCCAAAAGTAGACAAAGATAAATCAACTATCCTACCGACAGTAAGTTTTGCCGGATTATTCGACATAGCCATGATCAAAATAAGATTTTGAATCGTTTTTGTTGGTAAGTGAAACCAGTCAATCATGAACACGGCTACTCCGATGTTACCACTCTGTGATGCAAGTAACAAATTTATTAATAAATTTTCATATATATTGATATATACAATTTTTTATTAAAGAAGAAAAACGTGAATATTTCTTGCAATTAATTAAATTTCAAATTTTTGAAATATATGAGTGAATTGAGTATTTAAAGCCAATGAAAGACTAAATGATGATAAAAATAAATAAATTTAATATTGTCTAGAAGTGATTGAATGTGCTTTAATAATTTTGTATAATTTAGATTATGTGAAAAATTTATAATGTAAAGAAAAAAAGGAATTTTTGATTATTGACATATACTTTTTTATAGATGGTTCAGTGAACATTCTTACAATATATATATATAGGAATATAAATATACCACATAGTACCTTTTGTATTAGAAGATCACCAATATAGCATAATAAGAACATATTAAACGTCAATGATATTAATAGTAATATATATGATGTTAGACTAATTATATTTTTTTGTTCCCAATCCTGGTATAAATGTAAAAATATGATATACTTATAGAAACCAAAATAGAAAAAAACAAAAACGTACCGCAATGCAATAATATTCAAGCAAACATATTACAAAAGTAGAACCAATGAATTCCAAAAAGAATACTTCTTGCAAAATTGTTTCAACTACCGCTGAAAATCTATAATAGTATATGATAAGTTTTCATAAACAACAAGTAATGATTTATATTTTTATATTTTTACTTTAAAATTCTTATATGATGTTTAATAATTGCCATCAGTCGTATATTCGGATTTAAATTTTTGTTGTAGAATTGTCCAGCAACTATATCATCTAATCGAGACGTAATAATATCGATTTGTCCACAGGCATGGGTTACAAAAAGTGCTGCCAAACCGCAAGCACCAGATGTTACAGTGTCGACGACATATCCGCACATAAATTGAACACCATATATTATTTCATAAACTGGACTTTTTTGAATATTATAACCATATGTAGGATAAATCAACACTTTAATCGTTTGATTATGTTCATTAATTTGCGATCCCATTGCATACTGCGTAATAGACATATAGGTAATACTACCGATGTACATAAACAAAATACTATAAATGGTCAAATTTCGGCCGAGTATTCCATATTTTAACATAAGTTCGCGATCATTTTCCATCTCTACCTGTGAAATTTATTAAAAAAAGATTTTTCATTTATAAATAACTTCTATATAAATATAAAAAATCATGATTCTAAACGTGTAATAAAATACACATGTACATAAAAAATTTAAAAGTATATATAAAATATACATTTGAAATTTAAGAATATAAAAATATATAAATTTTTATTATGATATCTATATATAAATATATAGATATCATAATATATAATATATATAGATATAAAGTGATATATAAAAATTTAAAAATATAAAATATAAGACATACACGTGTTGGTACACAAAAAAATATACAACAAAATAAAAATATGAATTATGCGAGTATTTGACATAGAAAATATCAGAAGTTGCATAATTAAAGTTAATAGCATCTTTTTTGTTCTCACGCAATGTTGTTCTTCTTGTTTGTGACATCAAGAACATTTCCATGTGCATTTTATAAGTTTTTAATAAGTCCAACCTTCCAGCCTTCATTCGTAAGATGATGTAATGGATATAAATTTTTCGATTTGTTTTCTTTGTTTAATTTTTGGATAAAGTGTAGTCTGTTGGAAGAAACTCGCAAGAATATTAAGAAAGCTAGGAAAAAAGAATTTCTTGAAATGAAAAAAGGAAAATAAAAGATATAAAAATAAAAAATACATACATGACATGTAAAAATATGAAAATACATAAAAATCATATATTCAATATATAAAAATATGTCTATATATATATATATAAAATATATTATGAAATATAAAAATAATATTTGTATGTATATATAACATGCTTGAAATAGAAATAGCAATATTACAAAATATGTGAATTGAAATTCAATTTCATTTACTACATGTGTACAGATGTATTTAAATACACATGAAGTAGGAATATTTAATAAATGTATGTTTTAATTAACCTGTTTCCAATCTGATTGCACCTGTTCGATGCAATATTTGATTTCCGGTTTATGTATCGTTAGAGCCCAATATTTCATCAATGATATGAAAGAGAAAAAAATTAAACCGAGAATCTTCAATCTTAGCAATATATCTTTCTCCTCATATATGATATGCAATGCACTTTGGATCAGGATAAAAGAACACAATAAATTATTGATTCCAATCACTATTTTCGGTAAAATTTTATTTATATTTTTTAGTACTATCGGCCAAATGCCAATACAAGTAAGAACCCATTTGTTATATTTCATCACGTAATCTATATCTTTCTCGTAATTAGGATTTCGCGGTTCATTGATCGGATTTCGAATGGAGTACATGTTGCTGGATAGTAGAAAACCAACTGTTTGTGGTAGTCTGGTGACAGTTGCTCTTGAGCTTGCGCTCGTAATGTCGCGTGCGTACTTCTGTGTTATTACAATTGTAAATCGATCAATACTTATTAAAAGAAGTAAATAGAAGTAAAAGACTGTAATTATAGTAGGGGCTATCAGTTCTATAAAATTTTACGTTCAAAGATAGTGAAAAGATTGAAAACTGATGTTATGTATAACTGATCGATTAGATTCTGAAATAATGTGTGATGTATGTGTTCATTTATCATAAGAAAGTACATGTTTGTAAAATGTGTTTATATTATGAAATATTTATATCTTTTATATGTTTCAAAAGTAATGTAAAAATTTATAAAATAATTAATTTCTACGCTTGCATATTTTCTTCATCTCATAAAAAAATAGATTAATCTTTTGAAATAATACTTAATGAAAAGAAAATATTAAAAATTTAATTTCAACTTTTAATAAAAATATTTAAAAATTATATTCACTATTTTTCTAAAATCTAATAAACTATTGGAATTTAAATCATACATTTTATAATTAATACAAATATTTAATAATTGATATTTGATAAAAAATATTTGTGAAAATAAAATATAAAAATATAATGATATAATGCTTTGATAATAATTAATAGCAAAAAAAATAAAAAAAAATAAATTTCATTACCGTCTGCAACTATTCGAACTAAATTTAAATATATTAATGATTTTGCTATTTAAATGTAACATTTTGGATTAAATATGTTTTTAAAATATCATAACAGAGGTAACTGTATTAAAAAATAATTCGATTATTTTTCTCGTCATTAATTTTTGTGAATATTGTGATATAAATATTAGTAAAATAAACTTCTTTAAGTGATATTTTATACCAACTGATTTTACAGAAAATTACATCCCATTATTTCATACGGATCCCTTTGAAATAACTTTTAGAATCTATTATTGGTTAAGGTAAAATATAGCTTGATTTCATTATTATAAATAGACATATATATATATATATATACACACACACACACACATATATAATTATTTTTCACAAAAATTTAGGCAATTATATAGTAAATATATATATTTATAACATATTTTTTTATTAATTATTTAATATTTTATAGTTGAAAACAATTATAAAAACATTTTTAAGATTATTGCATAACAGCAGTCTGAAGAAAATTTAAATATACGAATGTTGTTTTTAAAACCTGCGAAATGTAATTGCTGACAAATAAAGTTCTAATTGTATAATATTCATTTATATCACCATCACATTCATATAATTAATGTATCAGTATAAACGTACATTTCCAAAAGTAGATAAAGATAAATCAACTATCCTACCAACACTAAGTTTCGTCGGACTATTCGACATGGCCATGATCAAA